AAAATAGTTTTGGGGAGTCTTTATGGTGCTAGACTGACAACAATATAAATAATTAAGCCATAGTTCTTAGATCGGTATGGGGAAACGAGGCGAATGAGATTTTCAACGACAATTTGGAGAAGTTAAGTAGTTACGGCTCTAACTCTCATCGGAATTATTAGAACTGAGGATATGGTTGTTGGTTGGTCTATTACTATAAATAAAGTTCTTACCTTCAAGCAGTTGTATTTCGTTGAATGTAGGCACTTTCAAGCACTTGGTAACATGCTTTATTTGTATATCTGGATTATTTAAAGTTTTTCCACATAAAATTTTTTAGGTTATTATGTAGTACATCGGAAAGTTAAAGCTATAGTTTTCATTAAACAAAAATACCTTATTGTGATGTTAGGTTAGGTTATGTTAAGAAGTCGATCTAATTCGGACAGTCAGAATGTCGGTACATTGTGGTACTTAAAACTCATATATGATATCATAAGACCCTCATATTATCGACAATCTGTTAAGACGGCAAATATCAGTTTCGGCTCTGCATCTTGGTTTGCTGAAAATATGACTGCCGATATGTTTCAAATTCAGTCTTGCAAAAGTCGGACTTTGGAAGAGGAACTGTCTGAATATTTCCATCACACCATCTGCCAGACAACTTTAATCATTGAATTCCAACAAGATTTTTTGCCTTACCTCGTAAATGCTTATAAGAACTCCTACGTTGCGGTAAGATGATCTTTGTTGAGTGAAAGTAGCTCAGTAGCTTGTCTGTATTCTACTCCAGTCCAAAGGATATCGCTGTCGCATAGAAGCCGGTCGTCCACCAACGCCTGCTAAGCGTTCGCGATGTTCACAGCTGCAGACCTTGATGTAACAGGTCAATAGGTACATATTTCTTCATTCTTTCTTTTCACACAAACATCACTCATTGTTATCATGAAACTGTCATATTAGCAGGAACGCTAAGACGTAACAAAGTGTACTCACAGGCAAACAAAGGTCTGACCTTCGGCCACCAGCAGCAACTTTTTAAACAAATAAATAAAATAAAAACACCAACAATAAATTAACAAAAGGCCAAAGGGGCTTTATCGAATTTGTTATATTGCAACACTGCTAACCGCAAAACTGCAATAAAGCTGACAAATAAAAAGCTCACAAAATTCAAACAAGTGTGCTCCGAAACGAAACCACAAAAACTCATTGAAGATAGCCCAAACAGTGTGCAGCCGATGCCGAGACCGGTCCGCAACAGTGTGTGGTGTTTACTACTTGTTTGTGTGTTTATGGCTTCTCGCCCCCTCTTCGTGTGGCAAAAGTCAAAAACTCAAAGCAAAGAAAAAACGAATTCAGACGCTTTGCTACACCTAAAAAATTCCGAGGTTTGGCAGAGTAGAAAAGGGTATCAAAACAAAAACACAAAGCAACAAGCGCAAATAAAACGAATGTAAATATGAACTGAAAAGAAATAGCAAAATTCAAACAAACACATAGACGCGGTGGCAGTCAAAACACAACTGAGCACACAACTGTTGCATGCGACGTTTTGTTGTTGCTGGCGCTGTGACTGCAGCATAAGTAGCAAGCGCTAGCAACTATTTACAAACATACACAACCGTGTATACTATATATTGGTAATATTGTTGTTGTTGCATGTTGCATGCTGTCCTGTTGCATTGACAGTCGCTGCTACTCGCCATAGTGCGACAGCTTGCCACCTCTATTCCTGTCTCTTATACACATCTAGATGTGTATAAGAGACAGGTATACTATATATTGGTAATATTGTTGTTGTTGCATGTTGCATGCTGTCCTGTTGCATTGACAGTCGCTGCTACTCGCCATAGTGCGACAGCTTGCCACCTCTATTCCGCTCGCAGCGCCGTCGCCACCAATCGACTTCCAAAGGCACACAGTCACACACACACAAATCCGCCAACAGCCACCAGCATTTACATATGTTTTGCCATTCATGCGCTCAGGTGCTATACTGCGTGCTGCATATTCATTTACGACATCCGTCCCTTGTGCAGCCGTTTTGACGTCTGTTACTTCGAAAACGGCGAAAAAAGACACAACAACAACAGCAGCGAAGTCTTATTTAAATGTTAAAGTTTGGTTTGATACTTAAAAGTTGAATGCGAAAAATACATGAATGGCACACAATTACAATTCATTCTGTGCACTTTGCATGTTTCGAATTTTCTTTTTTTTCGATTTTTGTCTCACTCATTCAGTACTCACTTAAGGAAGACCGGATTTGAAGGCGAATATCGCAAAACACTTGGAAGTGCTTAAAAAGCGTTTTTCTTTTCAGAACATTTTATTGAAGTGTGTGTTTAAGGCACGTGATGTGGACGCCGAAGGCGGAGCTACACAAAGCTATCAAAAATCAACCCTGAAAGTCCGTATTTTACCTTCAGCTTAGTAGCTTAGTTTTGGGTTATTGCTGTTAGTGAAAATTGGTGTTAATATACCATTTGAAGAATAAATGAGGAATATGAGTTGATGAATTGAAAAATTGGAATTGCTTTACAAGTTTATCGAGTTCTTCTTGTCGGAAACAGGATTGATCTTCCATGAAGTTTAGAAAGATCTTACCAAGAAATGTTCAGATGCAGCCATTAATTATTTCATTTCAAGGATCAAAAATGATCCTTCAGACTCTTAAAAGTTTTGAAACTCAGAGATTGATCTCTATTCGGATTTACTGTTACAGAGCCATTAAAAGAAAATCGGGGCCCGGGGAGGATATAGGAACCATTAACTTTGGTTGCACCGAAGCTGGAATATCCTTCACAAATAAAGAAGCTTCCAGACAAGAACACAATTTCGATAGGCCAATTTGTATGCCAGATATATTGTATACATAGTAGTAGAATCTAGAAAATATATTCGGGGATTATATAAAAATTCATACCAAAAATTCGTCAAGATGGAAGATTATATGGTATCTAGGTCCGTGATTGGCAGTTCCAAAAGATGAGCAGCTTTTTAGAGAGAAAAACTGTATGTAAAATATGATATAGTACAGGGTTTGTCTGGAAAGTAATAGGACTCAGTCGATTTGAAAAAATTTATTGAAAAAATCGTTACAATTTCTGCTATTTCAGCTATTTCTGCGTCGATGCAGCTCTGCCAGCGCGATTTTCAAGCATTAACGGCGTCACTGAAGACATTCTTCGAAATTAGCTTTGTCAACTCAAAGTGCTTGCCCTTCATCGGCCTTTCCGGCAAGGCAACAACAAAAGTTCGGGGACCACAGCTGCGGAAGAGCTGGAATACCGGCCTTGGTTAGGTAGCTCTACACAGGTGTGAGCCGGAGCGTTGTCGTGGTGCAACTTCCAATCATCTGCGATATCTTGTCGGACTCGATTGACCCTTCATTTGAGTCTCTTGAGGACTTAGACGTAAAACTTGGCGTTGACGGTTTCATGGTGGGCGATGAGTATGATGTCAAGAAAGACAATACAACATGCAACGTTTCACTTTGGATTTGTTCATTCTTATCTTTTTTTGGGCGAGGAGACGCCGGCGTGTGCCTTCGGTGACACACTACTTCTTACTAAAGCAACATCTAGGTAAGCCTGCTTGATCATATGAAACGTGTCTGTCGCAGATTTATCGAGTTTCACACAAAATTGAATCGCGTACCTCAGCTCTAACGAACGCTGCATTTTCGGCTTGCACCACTCACAGAAACACGTGGCGCGAAAATGATTGTCCTGACTCTCCAGGTACTCGGACACAACTGACCAGCCGCTCGTTCGTTAGCTAGGAACGTTCTCCACCGAATCCAGTTGGTCCGCGCATGCTTCGAAGCGCAATTGCGGAGGAAGAAAATCAGTCTTCATACTTTCCAGACCAACCCTTTATATGTGAGAGACTAGTTCAAGTATATACAGACAGACGGATGGACGGACCGACAGACGGACATGGCTAAATCGACTCATCTTACGTCACGCTGAGTATTTATATACATATGTATATACTTTCTGCGACGTTACTTGCTGGATGTTACAAACTTCGTGGTAAACTTAATACACCATGTTCATGTCTGTATGTATATATGTGTGTGTTTAAAACTATAATTTTATTTTAAATAATTTCCGCTTTCATTTCGTTTCAAATTTAAATTCCTTCAGCGACACAAGTGTGGCGAATTTCGCTGTAAATGCGGCAGCACGTTCAACTTCAATGCAGGAAAGTTTCCATTTCTTTTGTGTTAGAAACCGAAGACCAAAAGCAAATCGAATGAGCCGCTGTGCAATTTCCAAGCATAAAAAGCTCCAACTCAACAAAGCGAGGCAAATGACAACGGACTAACCAAGCATAGACCCAACTATAACAACAACAATAAAATAGTCAACAATAAAACCAACAACAACAATAACAATATGACAACCAACAATAGTGCCATCAACTGCGCCAACGACTTGGGCAGCAGCAGCAAAAATGTGGTGGCCAAACAACAGCAGATAACCTGCAACTTACAAATCGCTCATTGCCGACTGTTAGCATTTGCCAGCGATAGCTATAATGCCAGCGCCATACACGGTAATAGCGACGGCGCAAGCGCCGGCTCACACAAAGTCGATCAATATGGTAAGCACGATTGCGCTACGTCAAGCGCTCACACGCTCACCCGCTTAACTTCTGAACGCTTGCTTGCTTTTGCTTTTGCTCCGACTTGTGCTTCACTTTACAGCGTTAAGTTCAACTGTCGGCGCGCTTAGTTGAGTATGTGAACCAACTTCAAAGTCTACAACCTCTTCAACGCTTTTGGCCAAAGCGCGACCACACCACAACGCGTCGTCGCAACAACAACACTCCTCCCCGCTGCGCTCCACAAACTGCCGCGCTCAGTGGCGAATGGCGAGCGACCGCAACAGAGCGAACGCTGTATGGGGCCTCCACAAGCACTTGCTTCGAGTTGGGCTTTTCAGTTTCTTACAGTGTGTCAGCGCGGATGGCAGTGCTGCCGTCTTCATTTGCAATACAAATTTGTGTTCGTTCGTCGCATTCAACGCGTCTACGTCTTCATATGCTTTTAAGGTGTGTACGAGCATACACAGCATAAAAATATGTTTGCATATGTCTGCCTATATATCCACGTAATTATGTACAAACCCAAAGCGATCGCAGCCCAACCGCTCCGCGCTCATTAGTCTTGAACAAATTGAAATGCGCCCGGGCGCGCGCGCGCTCTAATCGTGTAAGAATGCAAATCAACTGAAACGTACTAGAAATGGAAATGCATATGCGCTTGTGTGCATGTGTGAACTGCTTGGTGAAATAGAGTAAAAAGCGGAGGTAAAAGGTAAAATAACAAGCACGTTGCCGCGCCATACGATTTCAATGTAAACGTAACAGGTGTAACAGCGCTGCTTGCGTTCGGCTGTCAACGTTGTTTTTGTTTCAGCCAGTGCTGTTATTATGATTGTTCGGGTTTTTTGCATTTTTTGTTTTTACCTCATCGACATCGAATGGCATTGTTATTGTGAATTGTTTTGCGGGTGCTGATCGACGCGATTAGAAACGGCGCGGCCGCGTCTTGGCCGCCGCTTAGCCAAATGTCATGACGCGCCATGTGTCGTGCCACAGCGCAGTAATTTGTTTAGCGCGCATGTGTGTGTGTGTGTGACAAACAACGGACCGAAATAACCGTAGCTAAATAACTGTGCTGTTGAGTGCTTTTTAAGCTACGATTATGAAACCGTAATAGTGCAACAGCTGTCTCTTATACACATCTAGATGTGTATAAGAGACAGGTGTGTGTGTGTGTGACAAACAACGGACCGAAATAACCGTAGCTAAATAACTGTGCTGTTGAGTGCTTTTTAAGCTACGATTATGAAACCGTAATAGTGCAACAGTAACAACAAAACCACAACGACAACAAACGGCACCACATTGGTTGTAACAAATGTGAATATACAGCGAGAATTAGAAGTCCACAAATCAAGATCGCAAAATAATGGATATATCCACAAAGCAAAAGCAACAAATAATGAAAAGGCGAGAGTAGAAATTAAATAAAAACGAAACACAATAGAATAAGTAAAAGCAGCAGATACCGCTGTATAATTTATAGCAACACACAAACATATACATATCTATACAACTGTCATAATAGTGGGAAGAAGTTGTTCACAAAACTATTAATCTTTGGCTCAATGAAATAGATGAACTGAATACAAAACAGTTACCAGCCACTATTTATATATAAAACAATTACGTAAACAGCTAAGCAATATGAAATGTAGAAAATCGTAATAAGAAATATTTAGTATAAAAAAAAGCTTTTATGATTTTAAGTACGTTGTGCTACGTGGAATCTTAAAATGTTAATAAAAGGTTGGACAAAAATTTCACTTTTTGTAATTGTTGCATTGATTCAGTAGCTAACGCAACTTTGGAAACATGGTCCGCTGTTGCATGACAGAATTCTTATAAGATTACCTTTGATTGGGATTGTCATATGCCACGGGAGCTCATTGTGTGGAAAGTGTGATTGTCAATAAGAAAACTTTTCTCTCTTATTTTTACAGATCTTATCAAAAAACATGCTCAGAAAACTGAAAACTCGAAATGCTAGTAGCTGCTTTAACTAGAAAGCAGATGAAGAAAATATGGATGAATACATGTTTTCATGAATACAGTCTCTTGAAAGCGAGAGCTTTATTTATTTCCAATTAAATCTTTTGGCAAAACTACAAAGTACATTACTGTTTATCTCTTTATAAATAATGAATAACAAGGAGGCCAGAATTAGTCCAAAGTAATAACCTCCAGATAGTGAATAGCATCCAATATCTTTTGAAGTACCGCTTTTGAGTAGCTAGGGCCGAGATCAATTCTCTTAGTATACACCTCATCCATTTGCTCCCAGTTCCTTATCTTGGTCTTATCAATATTTTCCCTCATATGAAAAATTAAATATTTTATTAGAACTTTCTATTGTTAAAAACACACACTATTAACAAAAAAAAATTTTGCAATTTTTGGAATTGTTATTTCCGGTGGCCCCTTGGAAAAAAGATGCGCCTGGGTTGGCAAGAAAACTCCTTACAGGATCATCTAAGGTGAAAAAAATATGTGTTTTAAAACCTTAACTTAGAACTTGGACGAAGGCAAAAGAAAATTTAAAAATAGAGTTTTGTCCAACAGTTTTACAAACACATGAAGACTTCGAGAAATTTTTTTTTTCATATAGTTGTCATCGAAAAAAATCCTTCGTCCAAGTCTTTAAGAGTTGTATCTCAAACTATGTAAAATTTCATAACGTTCGGTTGAATAGTTCTAGAGAAATTTAGCCAACCGACTTCAAAGTTCAGCTTCAAGAAAAACGCGTTTAAAGACGCACTTAGCCTAGCTAGCCTCGACGACATAGGTTCATAAGGCTGTATCTCCGAAATTATTACTCGGATCAACTTGAAAAGTAGGAAAAAAAATTTTGATTTTTTGAAACCCGTAAACCCATGTAACCCCTTACAACCAAACCTAACTCGATTATACTTAGTCCTGCCAACAAACAACCATATAATATTTATTTTTAGTTATTTGGTATGGCCACCTTTTGCTTTCACACAAACTCCAAGCCCTCAAAAGAGACTAAGATTCTTTGAGATTTCCCAAAATTCTGAGGGATATTCGGCAGATCACGTTCTTCATTTAAGCCGCTGTTGAGCGGTTTCTGTCATGTGTGCTTACTATGATTAGAAAATCTTGTTGCAAGATTTAGTGCTCGGAGAGGGTATTGCTTAATTGCTTTTCCTCGCCTTCTCAAACATTCGGCTGCAACACTTTTGTCGGAGTTCTACTCGCTTTTTAAGAGGAGAGAAGAGCTATAACGTTTTTACAGAAGATTTCCACCAAACTATTACAGCAGCTGGATAGTGGCCACGTTGAACTCTTGAAATAGCATTAATAAGAACGTCATTGGAAGTTTTCTTCAACAATAAAAATTTATTGTTCTGTAAAAAGCACATTTTCAGGGTCGCTGACCGCAATGAAGAAGTCGGTTGCATCTGCTGAGCCTAATTTGTTCCAAACGCATTATCATTCATGTGGAGACCATCTCAAATAAGTCTTGTCGTTGATCCTTTCGATATATCCATTTCGCTTGACATAACTTTCTTTTTTAACTGGACTTCTAAGGATGTGCTCGCCAACAATTTTATAGCTAAATTGGTAAACAAATATTCTCGAAATCTTATATTTTTTTTGAAAAGCTCAAATATTTCATATGCGAAAGATTTTGTGTTGTATTCTGGAAATGAACATCTCAAGGCTTCATGTCCGGCTCCACAACATTATAAAATTCAAGTTTCTTTTCTTTATTCAAAAAAAAAAAATTGTTTCTCGCGATTAAATGAAATAACAGCACATTTCGGCATTGTGTAATAAGCTCATAAACATATGTATTAACAACAGCACTTCCGCCACCAATGTGTAATACTCGTAATTCTCTCAGCAGGTGTGAAACCAACCTAATTCACCGTTATTTATGAGGAAATTGTCAAACCCAAACTGCTGGCACTTTTATTATTACTATTTTGTTTAGAAGGTTTTTGAAGATTTGTGTGTTGGCTCGGAATGTGGCGTTAGTAATTTCTTCATTGACACGTTTGGGCATAATTTTTAAACGTTGAACATAAGTGACCGTGTAATTTCCATCCGCTAGCTCTCTGGGCTATTATTATGATAATTATTGTCATCACTAGTTTTATGGCTTGTTTGCTTTATTACGTTTCTTTTTGGAGTTGCGCTGGTTCTTTCACCTTTCGAGTTGAGTTGAGAGTTGTAAGAACGCTTTTGTGCGCATATTTATAGCTCTGCGCTGTCTTCAGTTTTATTGGTGACGGCTTTGGCATTTGCATAAAATGCCCATAACAGAATTCAAAATCACAGCAGCTGTTTGGGGTTTGTGTTATAGTTCTTTACAAAAGTTTTAGAAATGGTCGCTTCGGTTAGGTGGTGTGTGAGTTTGCTGATATTCCAAAATCATTTTTGAAAATAGTATACAATAGTAAATTTTTGACAGAAGGAGTAGAAAATAGTTTTTTCTATGTCTGAATTTGGTATCCCCGCAAAACTAATACGGTTGTGTAAACTGACGTTGAGCAATATCAAAAAGTTCCGTCAGATGGATCGGGCCGTTCGATACCTAACGAGGTTTCAGAAAAGACGACTCCTTTTCTTGCGACTTATTCAATCTTCTGCTGTCATCAAACAAACAGTCGTCCCATTCGCGACTAGCCTCCCACGTCACTGTTGACAGTCATAACCTTGACGTCGTAGATAATTTCGTCTACCTTAGAACAATTGAGAAGTAAAGACCTTTTTCTGATGGTTCTGCGAAAGATTTTTGGTTATTAGCGCTTTGGCGCGAATATCGCATTCGATGAAGCAATGAGCTATACGAGTTATACGTCGACATTTACATAGTTCAGCGAATTACGAGTTAGAGGCAATGATGGCTAGGTCTTGTCGTCCGAATGAATACTCACCGGGGAAGCAGAGGAAGAGGAAATCCTCCGCTATGTTGGAAAGATCGGGTAGAGAAGGACCTGGTTTCACTTGGAATCTCTAATTGGGGAAAACAGCGAAAAGAAAGCATGGCCGACGCACTGTTGTAAATTCGGCTATAACCGCGTAAGCGTTGTCTATGGCATTAAAGAAGAAGAATATATAAAAGTATCAGAATACAGTACTTAAGAATTACAAGGTTCTGAGCAGCAATTCCGGTAAAGATGACCAATTCTCTAAGTGTTTTTTTGAGAATAGGAAGCTCCGTCTTCCAAACCACCGAATCCCTAAAATCAGAGCGCAACAAAGAAGCTTTGTATCTACAGAATGTACCCTTCTGCAATTCTGTTCTTATCACTAGATTCTGGCCCCTAACATGTTGCGGATTTTTGACTAGAACGAAAAGACAACAAAAAATGTATTAGAAAGTAGAGGACGTTTTAAAATCTACTCCATTTCTGAGCTCTAAACACAAATGAAAATGAAAATTGAAATAACTTCGAAGCCTTGTGTACTTAAAGTCTTGTGGTTTATTCAACTTAGCAGTGCGTTTAGCTTAATCACGGCAGTGAGGGCAGGTCAAATTAGTAAAAACACTGACATATATGTATGTTCGTATGAACGTAAGTAGGGCTTTGTTTGGCTGGAAAAAGTGTGTGCTGGAAAGCCATTCATATACCATGCAGCCATTTATGATCGTATGTCTTCACATGTGTGCATGTGTATGTGCACGGCTTTTGCCACAAGAGGTCTAACGGTCAGGCATTCAACCTAAGCGGCAACGACTTGCAAAACACACAGCACCGCCTAGCCGAAGCTGCTACTAAGCTTTACGCGGTCACCAAAGCGTTAAGCAATACGCTAATGAGCGAGCAAATGAGTCGCGCGTGTGCCGTAATGCGTTTCGAAGGGGACGAAAATAATACCGGCGACTAAACTCGGCTTAAAAAAGATTGAAACGCAAATGACTTCTTTAAACTTTTTCGTTTCGGAAACGTTGCGCAGTCTGTCGAATGGAATAAATAGAGAATGAAAAGTGTTTCTAATTACAACAAAAACTGCGAATGCTCGTGGCAACAGTAGCTTTGCAGCCAACAAACAATATGTACATCCAACATTTTTTGCGCTGGCAATGAAATATGTATATTTGAAAAAAGACAACAAAAAAATATTAAATAAAGTCGAATGTCCAATAATAAAATAAAGTTGTACTCGTGGAAATTGGCTGCACAAGTTCGTGACGAAGTCGACAAAAACTAGTACTAACTTATACAGAAATAGCATTTACGTACATACATAATGTTCATAAGTGTGTAAGCATGTCAGTGTCCAACGTTAGATGATGTTGTGTTCTGAAGTTATGCGAAATGTAAAAAAGTCTGCATTTTCATGCACCTATACATTGATATACGTATATGTATGTATGTGTGTGTGCATGTTGTTTTGAAAAATTCTACACCAAAAGCCATAAATCTTTTAACTTCCATTTAACTAAGCAAATGGGCGAAAATGCCAGCGCGAACACAGCGCACATGCGCACTGCGCATTATGAAAAACTGCGAGCACACGCACACAAACTTACCGTCGTATGCTTATATCTCATAAATATACATATGTACATAAATAAGTTGTTCAGTGTTTTGAATATTAGAAATAAAAATGTAAAATTTAGTTAAAAACTTGTGTATACTTTGTGGGTATGTCCCATCGCGCCCTGATTAATATGACGCAGTAGAAAACACTGTGTTAATTTTACTTCATAAGTTTCTTATAAAAAATCAAGTGCTTAAGCAAAATGTGTGCCAAAAGATAAAATTTAAAGTGAAATGAAAATTAATTAAACGAAAAAAATATGAATGTATTTCGTGTACTCACAGCCCGTCATAAAGCATCGTAGAATCATAAAATTATAAATTTTACACTGGTTTAAAAAAATTGTTGTTGGATTACATACAAAAATGAGTTTACACATATACAATTCTTAATGCAATGTTTTCGGATCTTTATAACTTACAACTTTATGAGACGATGTGAAACCCCTAATTTCTTTTCAAATTTTTTTCACATATATTTCACATTATATAATAGGAGTAATAGTAGAAAAAAATTCAAATATGAGTAAAAACTTTAAAATGATTGCTCGTTTTTTGAACCTTAAAAAAAGTCCAGAAAACACCCTTAATTTGAGGGTTCTAGACCCCCAGGACCCCTTAATGTATTACCAACGTTTCTCGAGTTGTAAGTTTCTGATCTATTTATTTCACAAGGTCTATACAATTATTATTAATTTATAACCTAATCGTTCATTGGAATTACCCAATTTAATTATTTCCTACTTTAATTTAGCTCTTTAAAATGGAGCCACTCGTCGCAATTAACAATTACTATAAAGTCGGAAGAAAATATATTCTAAAGAAATAATCGAGATTAGAAAATAGGAAAAAAACGAAGCTATATATACCAGGTTTTTCAATAAGTTTTGTCGTTTCATAAGAAAAACACAATTTTTTTATGCAAAATACACTTTATTATTCAGTATAATCTCCCTGAACATTAATACACTTGCTCCAACGATCCTCATATCTGTGGATCCAATCCTGAAGTGAGAATGCGGAAGGTCTGTATTTTGCAGTATTTTGCTTCAACAGTTCTGGAAACAAATGTAAGTCGCTGGAGGCCAAATCTGGTGAATACGGTGGATGCTCCAACAACGCGAACTTTAATACGTGGCTTTTAGCCATTTTCAAAATGCTCTTGTGAAACGGTGCATTGTTCTGATGGAAAAGGATCTTTTTCTTCTGCAAATCGGGTATTTTTTCACGAATTTTTTCCTTCAACTTTTGCAATGCTGGATTGACATTAATTTCGAAACTACATATTCAATAGTAATCTTGGAATTATTTTATTTTTAAGACTTCATGGAAAGAGTTCAGTTGAAACTGTAAAATACATTAGAAAGTAGTATAGAGTAGAAAGAAAAGAGCGCATTTCTGTCAAGAAAAATCTCTTTAAAGGTGACTTAGCTCTTGTACGATCAAAGCTCACACCAGACGCGACTGAATCTCTGGGGAATACTATATATGTGTGTATATATTTTTTCAATTTAACAATCTGGGTCCCTCAGCCATACTACGTAGTGGGCACTCTCAACGGGGCTTTACATTATTCATGTGAATGTGTGTGCGTTTTCCGAAACTAAAACACTGTGCCTAGACATGCGTGCCGACATTCGTGCAGTTATTGTAAAGTAAATGCGCGTGAGCGCGTGTTACTTCAATAAGCTCGCTGTTTTCCATTTTATCCGAGTAATCAAGATACATGGCTTTTTAATTAATGTAATTCAATAAAATAGTGAACATGTCAAAAAGCGAAAAAGGAATATAGAAGCCAAAACAAATTCATTGCAATTATTTAATTATAGGATTTAATTGCAGATTAATGCAAAACAAACAAGCCAATAATGAAAGTGAACCAATAAATTATGAGTTTGCGTTAAAAAAAGTGTGAAATTAAATTATTTTCGCGGCGAAAATGAATTTTTGTACAAGTTTTGAAAGATATGAGTATAAAGTTCAGCAAAGCTTTTTATGACAAAAACAACAATAAATCATAACACTAATACGCAATAAAAGGCGTTAATAACATAACCGCAAAATGCAGGTCAGTTGCTTTCGAAAACGGTGCCAATTTGGTAGCCAAAGATCAACTATAATACAACAACAAGAGGCAACTATATTACAACAATAATAAGCTAACACATATTGTGTGAATGGAGGCGCAGAAAGTGCAAAAACTATACAATAAACTTTAAAGCTCCAAATTGAATAAAATTGACAAAAATAACAACAACAACAACTAAAACAACAGAAGCTGCAAACTAGACGTGTAAGTATTTTGTAATTTTCTTTCATTTACACACACAAACTTAGTATTTGTTTGGTTTGTGCCATTTGTGCGATCTTTTAACTATATTTATCTGCTATGAGCAAATCGATTGTCTCGACGCATTTTAGATTTTGCCTTTTGAGTTTCTATAAGACTATATTATAGATCGGATAGTGCGATCAGTTTCTGAAGAAAAATTGGATCGGCCCAACTAGTGTAATTACCAGAAATCTGCTCACACCTTCGCCAAGACTATCCACACCGAATATTGTGATTACCTTCGTACAATAAGTTTGAGACGGTCACGTTGGTTGATATATAAGGTTGTCAAATATCTCCCTCCGCTCTTTATTCAATGCTTTATAAAAATTGTTACAGTGATCGGATTTAGTTGAAATATGCGCCGTTTCGTTCGATAATCTCTTTCCATCTAGACGGCAACTTCAATATACCTCCCGCCTTACTTGCGTCGAACTCGGATAGCCACTTTTCACAAGCCTCTTTTGAGTTCAACTTTACACATCCGAGCTCTCGTAGCTTCTGACGAGTCATCAACGATATGGTCTGGCGTTGTCCTGGTGGAACACTACACGCTTCCTGTTGGCCAACTCTGGACGCTTCTGATCGATCGCCTGCTTAAAGCAGTTCAGTTGTTCGCAGTAGATGGTAGAATTAAGCGTGTGATCATATGGGAGCAGCGAAACCTTTCTGGCCGTCAATCCCGGCTTGGTCACTGTTTGGGACGATTCACCGGCCTTCGACCACGACCATTTTCGTTTGATATTGTCGTATGTGATCCATTTTTCGTCGTCAGTCACCATCCGCTTCAAAAGTGGGTTCGTACTAAAAGTATATAAATGTGTCATCATTCTTCTTTCATACATATTTCAAATATACCAATATATGTCTGATCCCTTGTCTGTCAGGTAATATATAAAATAATAGGTACTGAGATAACATGCTACAAGGTAAGCTAGTACCAACTATAGATAGATAGAGAACACCAGATAATTGTTAACAAAAAAAAAAAAAAAAAAGGGCGGACAGCTGCAATACCCTTCACAAATGCAAAAGATTCCTCACAAAAAATTTCAGAGCGATATCTCAAAAACTTATGCACCCCTTCACATATATACCGACAGACCGACGGACTGGCAGACCTACACGGCTAAATCGAGTCCAATGTAATCTTCTGGGCGTTACAAACTTCGTGGCAATCTTATCCCGATGTGACGGCGTAGACTGCTTGCGGTTCATTTCCAATCTCCTCAGAGACTCCATTATACATTTTGCAAGGAGAGTTGATTTTCCGGGTGTCTGTTCTAATTAATTAAAAATCTTTCTCACAGTGCACTCACTCAAAGTAAGTGCACAGGCAGACACAAAAGCTTTGTAAGCGGTGGCAAAACAGTGGCGGTAAGGCGAACAACAACGACGGCGGCGACGGCGACCATGGCTGCTGTGGCTCCGTGCACAAATGCGTGTGCGCAGAATTTTAAATGAATTCGTGCTTTCACGCGTCCAGCGTCCAGTGTTGGCGACACCACCAACAGACCCGACCAAAGCCCACCACATTGCCGCTTTGTTGTTGCTGGCTGCTTTATGCGCAACCATGACCATCCAGCGGCGGCAGCGACAGTGGCAACTACGAGTATAACGTTAAAGACAATTGCTCACAAAGTTGTCGCCACCTCGCAAACATATGGACGCGGTGAAGGCACGCTCGCTCCAATGCCATGTTTGCCGCTTGTCTTACGCTGTCTAGCTGTCGGCGCGCGGCATTTGTCTTATCTAGCTGCCGCAAGTGTCGGAGCTGCGCGTCGCGGCGTTGATGTTGTGGCTGCGTCGACAGACGCTGGCATCGCAACTGTCGTGTTGGTGGTCGCCGTCGTATTTTTCCAACTAAATTTAATTTCTATTCAATTGGTTGACCATATAAGCGCACGCACACACGCACACGCGCTCATACATGTGTATGTATGGGTGGTTTGCTGATTTCTATGTGGCGCGCATGGCTCTGGAAATCGTCTGCTGCCGCTGCATGCATATTCTAGTAGCGGCAAATTGTCTTGGACTCTTCAGCTTCTTGTAGCGCGTCGCATTTGCTGCGCTGCTATTGTCCTGTCCTTTGCTTGGCATTTTTTCTGCGGCGGTCGTTAAATACTTCACTTTTATGAATTTTTACTTTCGCTTGGAAAAGGATTTTTTGCTCCTTCTGACGCTGTGTTTATTTGCGTATTTGTAATGCATTTTTTTATGCGATTTACTTATTCAGCTCGCGGCGTAGCGGAGGGGCGGTGGACGCGGCATGCATATTATGTGCCTGACTTGCATGCTTATCAGCTAGACGGCACACACACACAGGCATGTGCGCGCGCATGATGGAAAATTCATTTTCACATTAAACGCTCTGTTGACATACGCAAGTGTACTTGCCGCTGTTGCTGTTCTTGTTGTTTTTATTTTTTGTTTTTTCTTATATAATGGTGGTTTTTTCTGCATTTCTGCAGAATTTTAATGCCGTGTGGCGCACATACTTATCCTTATGCACCAGCTGGTTGCCTCACAGCTCCAGCGCCGCCTCCACAGGCACCACCGCTGTCCACACCTTGGCCCCGCAGCGCCTTCGGAGCGTCGCTTCGTCCATTGCCTCACCAGTTAGCCACCTCCGCAGACTTGGGAGTGGCAGCCGCTGCTTGTTTGCCGACTGTTTGACGCAATCGCTACTCGCTCCCACCTTGTGACGAGCACTTTGCAGGTTTTTCTTAAGTTATGCATAAGTAGTTTGCATTTTTGTTTGCTCAATTCTTTGATTTTTGTCCATTCTCTGGCTGCGACTTCTTTTTCTTGTATTTCCTTCACTTTTTTTTGCTGGTTGGTGGTACAACTTGGTCGTCGCGCCGCTGGCAGTTGGTAAATTTTTCGCGCGGTGCGTCAATGAATTTTGATTGCTCAATGCATTGCGAATGCCGCATGGCAAATTTGTGGCTGTTTGTTTGCCTAACTTGTTTCGCCAGCCACTTCTTGCTCTTTAAACTTCTTGCCTTTTATTGACTATTTGCTCGCCACATTATTTTATTAATTTCCACGCGTTTGCCTCATTCTGCATATAAATCAAGCAATTCTGCTGAGTTTCTCTTCAAGGGTCCAGTGGCTTGACACTTTGCCACTCACACACACAGACACACGAATGTATGTATATACTTTTTTGCTACCCACGTAAAGACTTGTTAATACTTGCATGTGTGTGTGAGGCTGTGTCGGAGTTGCAGTATTTTTTCTACTTGCTGCTTGAATGCAGTTTACGGTAATTGAAGCTGTCAAATTGTTGCATAATAAGTCAATCACTCGCGCTGGAGGCGTTCGTTTTTTGTTTATTACTCAAAATTAATTAAAATGTCACATCTGTTGCTGCAGAATATGGGTCATGGTGGTTAATGATGTAATTTTATAAAAAGAAATTTATGGAACATAGCAGTTAAGGACCAAATTTTGATATTTTTATCGGGTAAAGTCAGACTATTTCTGGAAGTCTGTATTATTGTCCTTCAAATTATTTGTGATCATGCTCGACAAAGTTAAGAAGAAGTGTTACTTTTTTCTGGTAGAAATAAATGATAAATAGGCGATGATTTCTCATATCCAAAAATTCGTCGAATATTTTAGTAAAATTTGAATTAGTTTATAGATTAAAGTATTTTTTTTTGCTTAGTATGCACCATCGCATACTGTATTGATTCTTAGTGAGTTTATCACCAAATTTTTAACCAATATCGTGCCGCAAGAACCGTATTTGCCTGATTTAGCTCCGTGTAACATCTGTCCATTCAGCAAACTCAAAGGACCGCTCTGGGAAATCGTTTTGAGTTATTTGAAGACATTAAACGAGCATTGAAGGCTCCGGAAATTACCTTTAACCACTGTTTCGAGGATTGGAAGAAAACGTTGGCACAAGTGAATTGTAGCCAAGTGGCATTATTCCAGGGGGGACGACACAGATTTTGAAGAATAAATTGAGAAATATTTACCAAACGAAAAAGTACCTTTATGTCTGGGTTGGTCTCTGAGGGATTCAATTTCGGTCAATAAGAAGATTTGCTACCCTAAAATTGAAAACTTTCAAAATCTTTAGAAAGAATGAATAATCATCTCAACTAGTCGCTAAAGCCACTAAAATGATCTGTCGATTATGTCTCTTTTCAAAAATTATTTTATGTAATATTAAATTTTAAAATTGAGACGTAAACCAAAATCCCTTTTGTGTTTCAACTGTGTGGGTTGCCATTCCGAGCGACTCTGCTGTCATTGTATAAGAATACTGTTATCTTTGTATTCCCATAAGTGCCGCTGCTTCGCTGGAGCGTTGCTCAAGATATTGATTCGCTAAATTTGGCAGCGCGTTATGCATTATTTGCCAAAAGTCAACAATCTCTTTGCCTATAATCCAAAGGCTGTGTTTTTGTTTTTTATGCAAATTGATGGTGTAAACACATAAATGGAGTGAGTGAATGGCCTGCTCCAACGATTTGCATAATTTCCTTGTAGCTGCAACACTAAAATTTAGCGCACAATGCTTGAATTGTGTGTGTGTGTATTTCCTGTTCAAATTCAAGTTGAATGAAAGCTTTCTTTAAAGCAAGTGAACTGAAACGAATATCGAAAATTTAATAGTTATCAAAAGTGTGTGTGCCTTGGCAGAAAATAAAAGCGAATGAGAGTAATCGTTAATCGGAGACTGAGAAAGAAAACTTTGTTGGCTTAATTGGATCCTGACGTCTTGATTACGAACTTTGAATATTCGCTTCCTGGGTGCAGTTTCAGCAATTGCTTCATGAATTAATGAATTTTTATACCATGAACTGGACACTATATATTAAGATTGGCACGAAGGAAACTTCGGAGGACCTATACTCGTACGACTGCAACGCCATCTATTGAAAAAATTCGAAAACACTTTTTCGACTACGCAATGTGTACGAACAAATGATAAGCTTGACGAG